GGCCACGTGCTGGATTTTCGTCCATGACACGGGTCCTCAACACCCCAATACCTGCGGTCTGCAACAATGTCACAACAGAACTAATACAAATAAAAATAATAATAACAGAGTATTATGAAGAGTTGTACTCCAACAAATTTGAAAATCTGGAGAGAGAGATACAGTTATAGAAAAACACGACCTACCTAAACTTACACAGAGTGAAGCAGAAAACTTGAACAGACCTATAATAAATGAAGAAACTCATCAGATCATCAAAGAACTCCCAACCAAAGAAAGTCCAGTCCAGATTGCTTCACTGGTTAGTTATACCAAACATTCAAGGAAGAGCTGTCACCAGTTCTACTCAAATTATTCCAGAATATAGAAAAGGATGAAAACTTCCTAATATATTTTATGACGCAAGGATAACCCTCATACCAAAACTAGGGAAGGACATCAATAAAAAAGAAAATTATAGGCCAATATCCCTCATGAACATAGATTGGCAGGACCAGATGCTTTCTGAGCCTAGGACGGCAGGTGCCTTCCTCCGCAGCCCTGGCCCGCTTCTCTGAGCGCGCCAGAGGCCAGTGGACAGGACAGAGACTTGGCAACCAGCGCGGAGAGGGACCAGCAGAGTGCCGGCAACCCCATTTGGCAGGGGCACGTGGTGCGCCACAGAGCAGTTCTAACATGGCGTAGGTTCTGTAGGGCCTGGCTGTCCAGTTGTTGCACTTGGCCGCAGCCCGCTCTTATGGGGTCTTCTGCAAGTGGCTGACCGGCAAGTTGCTCATCTTCTTTGACCTGGCCTGCGAATCAACTCCCCTTACTTGTACATCGTGACTTTCATGATGCTCAACGTCCGGCTGCAGGTTCATATTGAGATCCACTGACTAGCTACCTATGATTATGGCTAAGGTCTGTCCTTCAACCCTGGGAATTGGAGCGGACAAAGTATTGAAGGATGGAAGAGGGACCCTTGGCATCTGCTTCACCAGCCTGGAGAGGGAGGGAGGCACTGGCTCGGGCAAGCCATTCTTAGGACTTGATTAGAGAACCCAGAAGGAGAACCCTTACCTGTCAGACCTACCATCCTGGGTGGATCAGTGTGAGTTTGATGTCAGTGGAAATTCACCAAATGTGGCGTTATCACTGGAGATGAGAAATTGCCTGAGTGAGGTCCCAGATTCGCAAGAATCTATAAGAAGAAATAACAATTCAGCAGCAGCTCTGAACAAGACCGAGGCTCAGTCCTTTGCTCCCACAGAAGAGTTGAGTACAGAGGCTCTGGTGAGGCAAGGGCCAGAAACAGGACTGGGGGGCGGGGGGCACCGACTGCCAAGGAGAGTCTCGGGTGTGGTCTGAACATCTCCAACTGCCACAACTACCATATTATCAAAAATAGAATTTGCTGCAGTTGTTGTTGATGTGAAGTGCCATCGAGTCAGTTCCAACCCATAGCGACCCTGTATAGAGTTTCCAAGGAGCACCTGGTGAGCTTGAACTGTCAACCTTGCAGTTCAAATGGCTTTGCAGTCTGGTGCATTAAC